AAAGAGATTGCAGACTTCACAACCTAGACATGTAGCCACCAACACATCAGAGATTTCAAACACCACAGATAGTTCAGAGCCCTCACACCATGTGGCATACACCATCCAACAGATCAGGTTGCCTGAGATATGTACCCACAAACAGATTAAAGACCACACAACCCACAAAAAGACCTGCAACGTATGAGAAACCTCATATCTTGGAAAATAACCCTCCTGGCAAATCAGAGAACTCACAACCTGGGACGTTCACCCATAAAAAGTAGTGACCTTAAATCATGGGAATTCGACTCACAATGAGATAAGAGACCTTACTTACATCCTGTGACATGTACCCAACATAAATTAGAAATCTCACCTCCTGGACAAACACCCAAACAGACTGGAGACCTCACATCCTAGGACATACAGCCACAAACATCTCACACAACCTGGGACAAACACTGGCAAACAGCTAGGATCCCTTACACCCTGGAATATATGTGCACAACCAGATCAGAGACTCCAATTCTGTGATATACAATCTCACAACCTGAGACATACACATAATATACCAGAGCACTCAAATCCTGCAGTACACACTACCACCAACTTAGAGACCTCACATATTGGGAAACACACTAAAACAAAGCAGGGTCCTCTCAAATTGGGACATACCACTCAAATGAAAGAAGAGATCTCATATCCTAGGATATGTACCTACAAATAAATAAGAGGCCTTATATCATGGGCTATACACCCTCCCACAGGTGAGAGACCTCACATGTTTGGAAATACACTGAGGAATAGATGAGACACCTCACATCATGGAACATATGACTTTGAAAAGATCAGATACATCACATCATGGGACAAAGCACTTACAACAGATCGGTGATGTCAAACTCTAGGACTTAAATCCATAAACCGATCAGAGCCCTCACACCCAGATTTTTTATGAACACCTGTGTCAGAGACCTCATATTCTGGGACACAGAGTGACAAAATGGTCATAAACCTCATATCCTGGTATATAAACCCCGAAACAGATCAGAGACCTCACACCATGGACACAAACCCAAAAAGACCTTGCAGACCTCACACAGAGATATATACCCACAAACGAATAAGAGACCTCACGCCCACATTTATACAACCACAAACATATCAGAAAACTTAACATACACCCATGAAAGACACCTCACGCACGGATCATTATGGTGACAAGCAGATCACAGACATCGAATCCTGGGCCTATATGCACATATAGATCAGTGACCTCACACTCTGGGACATATACCTATAAACATATCAGAGATCTCCCATTCTGGTGAATATACCCACAAACATATCAGAGGCCTCACAACTGGGACATACACAAAGAAATCAGAGACCTCACATCCTGGGACACACTTGCAGAAACAACCCTAAAATTCTAGGAGGTACAGCCACAAATACAATGCAGACATCACACCTGGGAATTATAACCACAAAGAGATGAAAGACCTGAAACTCTTGCTACAGCTATGAAAAGATCAGATACCTTACATACAGAGACATACCAGAGACTTCTTACTCTGGGAAGCACACCTAGAAACAGATCAGAGACCTGATACCCTGGAAAAAAATCCACAAACAGACCCTGACATACAGCAATGAAGACAGACGCGCACATACTAGTATACAGCAACAAATGGATCAGAGACCTCACATCCTGGGAAATATACCACCCAACAGATCAGAGACCTCACACCTTGGCATATACACCAACAAAGAGCTCAGAGACTTTACATCATGGGACATACACATCCAAACCGATCAAAGACCTACATTCTAAGTCATATCACCACAAACAAACTTGAGAACTCACATTATGTGACACCCTCCCCCCAAAAAACAGACCAGAGACCTCATTCCCTGAGACATACCAACACAAAAGTATCAGAGAGCTCATACCCTTGATATATATCCATGAAGAGCGACCTCATGTCCTGGGACATATACAGGGATAGAGAGATCTGAGACCTCATATTCTGGGACATATACGTACAAAGAGTCCAGGGAACTTACATCCTGAGAACTGCACCCATAAACATTTTCAAGACCTCACATGCAGACACACACACCCGCAAACACAGCAGAGATCTCGTACTTTGGGACATATACCCTCAGACAGAATAGTCCTCATATCCTGTAACACACACCCAAGAAACCAATCAGAGTACTCACACCCCCAGAAAAAAAATACAAAAAAGAATAACAACCAGGGAAATATATCTACAAAGAGCTCAGAGTCTTCATATCTTGGGACATATACCCACAAACAGGTCAGAGAGCTCACACACTGGCACTTACACCCACAAAGAAATCTAAGATCTAACATCCAGGGACATAAAAGCAAAAATAAATCAGAGACCTCATACTCTTAACATACACCCAGGGAGAGAGACCTCACATCCTGGGACATAAAATGGCAAACAAGTCAAAGACCTCATATCCTAGGACATGTATTCACAAAGAGAGCAGAAACCTCACATCCTGGACATACACACACACAGCCAGATAGATCAGAGGACTCGCATCCTGGAATATATGCCCACAACCAAATCAGAAATCACTCATCCTGGGAAATAAACATCCAAACAGATCAGAGACCTCATAATCCTGGACACACACTCAAAGAGCTCAGATACCTCACACCAGGTACATATGTCATGAACAGAGACCTCATATACTGCAATATGCAGCCACAAGCATGTCAGGGACCCTACACATTTGGGACATACACCCACAAAAAGCTTAGGAATCTTACATGCTTACATGCTGAGATACACATCCATAAACAGTTCAGAGAGCTGATACCCTGGGACACAAGAGTCCCCATCCTCAAAATCATTAAAGCAATATCTGGACATAGACTCTCAAACACCACAGAGACTTCACATCTAGGGACTCAGTGGCCCAAACTGCTGCAACACCTAACACCCTGGACGCAGACTCCGATCACCTCAGTGATGTATCTTCCTGGGACTTAAAAATTCATACCCCTCAAAGAACGAACAAAACTTGTACAGGGTCCTTCAAAGAGTCCATGGCTGTGAAACCTGAGACACAGACTCCCAAACACCTCAATGCCCTCACACCCAGAACATAGACTTTTAAGAGAGCTCCAAGACTTCAAAGTCTGGTCCCCAGGACAAAGTCTCTTAGAGACATCAGACCCTGGGATTCAGAATCCCAGTAGGTTATGACCACATTCTGGACATGAACAGAAAACAACCCAGAATCCCCACACTTTGGGACATAGAACCCCAAACAGTTCAAATATCTAAAAACCTGGAGATCTAAAAATGTGAATCCCAGCCCTTGCCGGTGTGGCTCAGTTGGTTGGAGCACTGTCCTGTGCACTGAAGGGTCTCAGGGTTGAGGGTTCAATGTCCAGTAAGGGCATGGGCCCAAGTTTTGGGTTCAATCTCCAGTCGGGGCACGGGGAGTAGGAAGGCAGCCTATCAATGTTTCTCTCCATCTCTCGCTTTCTCTCCCTTCCTTTCTCTCTCTAAAATAAATAAAAATATGTCCTTGGTGAGGATTTAAAGAATAATAAATAAATAAAAATGTGAAGCACAAAGTGTCCGGAATACCCTAATATGGACATAAGTCACAAAAAGCTCAAAAATATCAAACCCTGGACAGACTCTCAAAGACCCAGGAAATACCACAAATTACCCTAAAATGTAGCAGCTTAAAACGACAGTAAACATTCATTATCTCACAGTTTTGAGGAATTAGGAATTCAGGAGCAGCTTAGCTGTGTGGTTCTGGCTTTGGGTCTTTCAGGCAGTCATTTGAAGGGTTGACTGGGGCTGGAAGCTATGCTTCCAAGTTGGATCACTCACATGGCTGGCAAGTTAGTGCTGGCTTTTGGCTGGAATGCCTCAGTTCTCTGGTACATGGATTTCTCCATGGGGCTGCTTGAGTATCCTCACAATATATATAGTGGCTGGCTTCCAACAGAGCAAGTGATTCAAGAAAAAGCAAGGCAGAAGCCAAATTCCTTTTTTTAATATTTAATTTATTTATCAAATTCCTCTCTGAGTAAGCACCACTTTGCTGCATCTCACAAATTTGGTAAGATTTATTTGCATTTTCACTGTGATCAAAGTGTTTTTAAATTTCTCGTAAGGCTTCTTTGACTCACTGAGGCTCTGAACCCTACCCCAAAGCCTTTCTCTAGAACTCAGACCCTGCCTCTTGCATAAATGTACAAACCTGTCTCTCTCATAACAAGATTTACAGTTTTCACAAGAGGGTCGTTTTTCTTTCTTTCTTTTTTTTATCCTCATCCGAGGACATTTTTCCATTTTTCACTCAGATAGAGCGGGAAGGAGAGAGAGGAAGAGAGAGAAACATCGATGTGAAAGGGACACATCGAGTGGCCGCCACCCACACGACCCAACCAGGGCCGGGGACAAACTGCAGCCAAGGTACATGCCCTTAGCAGGAACCGAACCTGGGTCTCTGTGGACTGCAGGCTGACGCTCTAACCACTGAGCCAAACCGGCCAGGGCGAGGGTCGTTTTTCTTTTTCTTCTAATCCTCACCTGAGGATATGTTTTTATTTATTTTTATTTTATTTTTAAAAATTTCTTTTTATTGATTTTTTAGAGAGAGAAGAAGGGAGAGGTGGTGCTCCCTGCACGCCCCGCACTGGGGACAGAGCACGAAACCAGGGCATGTGCCCTGACCAGGAATTGAACCGGGATCTCTCAGTCCATGGGATGAAGCTCAATCCACTGAGCTAGACCAGCCGGGCCCTCCTTTCCTTTCTTTCTCATGCTGAGCATCTGTTATAGGTTAAATTGTGTTCCTACCACCCCCAAATTCATGTGTTGAAGTCATAACCCCTAAGAATGTGACCTTATTTGGAAAAAGAGTCATTGCAGATATAAGATGAGGTCATACTGGAGTAGGGTGAGCCCCTAATCCGATATGACTGGTGTCTTTTTTTTTTAGGGGGAAATTTGGACACCGCCACACACACACACACACGCGCGCGCGGAGAACGCCAAGTGAAGATAAATGCAGCAGAAGCCACAAACATCAGACTGCCAGGAAACCACCAGAAGCTAGGAGACAGGCATGGAACAGATTCTCCATCTCACCCTTAGAAGGAACCAACCCTGTTGACACCTTGATCTCCGATTTCTAGTGAGAAAATAAATTTCTATTGTTTGAGCTACTTAGTTTGTGGTAGATAGCCCTGACAAACTAATACAATAAGCTGTAATGCCCCCCATAGCAAGGAATTTTGTGGTCTAAAATGTCAGTAGTGCTGAGGCTAAGAAACCCTGCCATAGGCACAGAACCCACTTACTGACCTGAGAATCTCTGATAGAGACCAATAAAAACAGGGACACACAGCTTTGGACACAGACATCCTTACACACAAAGTGCTCAGAGACCTCACACTCTGAACAAGGAAGCCTAAACAGCTCAGAGAAGATGTGCCCTAAAGAGACACCCTAATAGGTCAAGGACATTCTGTGGGCCGGAGACCACCAAGAAGATAGAAGGCCAAGCATCTGCATACATCAAATGCTCAGAGACATCCCAACATGGGACACAGAACCCATGGGAGTTCTGGGTCCACAGAGCTCAGATATTTCACATTTTGGACACAGACACCAAACAGGTGAACAACAGCTCAGGAACAGCAGTATGTTCATTTCCTGGTTTAAAATTATGCTATGGGAATTATAAGTTCTTTACATTAGGGGAAGTGAGGCAAAGGGTATACAAGAACTCTGCACAGTTTTTGCAATTTTTCTTAAGTCTAAAATTATTTTAAATATATTTATTACAAAGGAAAAAAGATCAAAGGACATAAAAGAGAATTCATAAAACTTAAATACATCTTGCCAACAAGCTCAGAAAAACAATATTGAGCCCCTTTAATAGTCAGAGAAATGCCAACGAAACAAAAATGAAATTCAACTTTAAGAAGAAAAAAAGAAAACCCTGTACATCCATGCACAAGAACCCCTAAATAGCTTAGAGACTTCAAACCCTGGGAGAGAGAACCACAAACATCTAGAAGATCTAAACTGCTGTAACACAGACCCCCCAAAACAGCTGAGAGACTTCATAGTCTGTCATACCCTGAACTGAGATCCCAAAACAAGTCAGACTTCACATCCTGGACACAGTCCTCCACTGCATCCAGTCTATAATAAACTACCTTAGGAGTTGATGGACTTGAGAACCACTTTCCTCCCAGTAACCTATACCCAGCCAAACACCTTCCCTGCCTGATACTTAAAATACCATCACTAAAAAGTTTACTCCTTTAAGTTTAGTCTTGCCCCCTCCTCTCTCAAAAGTCTCCTTTTCATTGCCACCCACCCTTCCATCTCAAAGCATGAAAACATGCATCTTTATAATTTAGGGCCCACCCCCTCACCCTACACTCTCTCTCTCTCTCTCTCTCTCTCTCTCTCTCTCTCTCTCACACACACACACACACACACACACACCTCCATACACCCCTACTCAGGCCTGGTCCAGAGGGAACATGATGCCCCCAAGTCACCCTCTCTGAGGGAAGGTGGGTTTGGCTTGGAGGAGAATCATGAAATCATCTCATCCTGAACCTTCTCTGCTGGACTCAGAGCTACAGGCTGCCTGAAATCAGCTGTCAGAAACTCTAGAGAATTCTTCTCAGTGCTGTTGTGAATGGTCAGGGGTTCCAGAAACTAGTATAATGGGATGCAATAAGCATTGCTTTAAAAAGAACAAGTAAAAGAGAATAGAAAAGATTACCCGACACATTCTGTGCCAGCCAATAATGCCAGCTTCTTTTACAGGTGCGTAAACTGAAGTTCCTATACAGGATTCGAACCTGTGGCCTCCCGTAGCCAAAGCCCTACCTCTGCAACCCTGAACGCCAGCCCAGGAGCAACAGCGCCTGCGCACAGCCAGCAGCCAATGGCAATGATTAGCCAGAGGATCAGACTCACCGCCAGTAAGGGTTTAAGGCAACCCTTGCTACCCTGGAAGAGCTTGGGTAGGTAATCTCCCGGCGACCAATCAGAGATCAGGGAAGGATTTAATCCCACCCTACCCATCCTGGAGCCAATCACCGCCCTGCAGCCTCCCCCTCCCCCGACCCCCCCCCCACACTGGGCGGGACTAGACGTAAGATTGTGGCATAGGCGGCTTCCAGATAGGTGGGTGCTTTTGAGCAAGGGTGGCGTGTGTCAAGACAGCGCTATTCTCTTCTTTTTCTGGGGTGGGGGCTGATCCACGCATGGGGTAACGAGACCTTTCGTGTCCCCACACATTAAGTGGTTTCTTCCAAAATACACGGACCCCCCTATCCCCGTGGTACCTCCCGAAGCGGACTGGTCCATCTCCGAGTCGCTCTAGGGTCACACTTTCCTTGTGTGTGCGACCTAGGAAGGGCTGTTTAATGTCAGTGTACCAAAATCATTCAATATTTTGTTCACCCCAACACAACTGAATAGATTCTCATGTCTTCCTTTTTCACCCATGTTTCATCCCTGTCTCCCCTTCACATGTCCCCCAGTGGACCATCCCAGCCCCATAACCTGATGATCAATGAGGGCTAAGTGAAGGTGTTCAAACCCTTGCAGCAGAGCCCTGGACCATAAACAGACATTCGTTCCTGTGATGCCACTGATAGAAGTGTGAATTTGTGTGGCAGCATCTATCAAAATAAACAAATTAGCACCCCTCCCCACTGGAATGTCAGTACCACCCGGATGGATGTGGATGTACAGTTTCCCGAGTTTCCATAGCCCCTCGAACAGCCGTGCACACAGTAGGTACTCAAAAAGGGTTTTGTTGAATAAATGACTTCTTTGACCTGGGAATTCCACTTATAAATATGTGTTATAAGGAAATACACATACACAAGTCTGTGTGCACAAGCATGGGAGGAGCAAACACCTAGAAGGAAAAGTGTAAATGAGAAAAGGTGATTTAGCCTTCTGGTGAGGCTCAGTGGTTGAGCATCGACCCATACACCAAGAGGTCACTGGTTAGATTCCTGGTCAGGGCACGTGCCCAGGTTGTGGGCAAATCCCCAGTGGAGGGCATGCAGGGGGCAGCCAATCAATGTTCTCTCTCATTGATGTGTCTCTCTCTTTCTAAAATCAATAAAGAAAAAAATATTTTTAAATCTGGGCAAAGACCTCACACTCTTGACATAAACCACAAAACAATTCAGATGCCTATTCACAAACAGAATGAAGGTGACACACAGGTACCGTCTGGAGGGACTGTCTAAAAGACAGGCTGTTAATGGAGGGGTGGGGAAGCAAGCGGGGAAAGTGCTCAAAGACAAGGTGAGAACCATCTCTGCAAAGTGTTCTGAGAGCTCACACCCAAACAGCTCAGACAGCTGTGACACAAACTTTGGGACCCAAATCATAATCATAATCAGTGACCCCACTCCCTGGGATATTGACCCCAGACAACTCAGAAAGGTGACACCCTCTACATAAGTACCCAAGTCCCCCCCTCCCCATTCCTCTCTCTCTCTCAAATCAATCAATAAGCCTGGCCGGTGTAGTTCAGTGGTTGAGCATCAACCTATGCACCAAGAAATTGCTGGTTCAATTCCCAGTCAGGGCACATGCCCAGGTTGTGGGCCAAATCCCCATTGGGGGGCATGCAGGAGGCGGCCAACTGATGTTCTCTCTCATCGATGTTTCTATTTCTCTCCCTCTCCCTTCCTCTCTCTCTAAATCAATAAAGAAAAACATTTTTTAAATAAATAAGAGTTCTTTTTAAAAATAAAATCAATCAGCCCAGCCGGTGTGACTCAGTGGTTGAGCATCGACCCATGCACCAAGAGGTCACTGGTTCAATTCCCAGTTAGGGCACATGCCCAGGTTATGGGCCAAATCCCCAGTGGGGGCATGCAGGAGACGGCCAATCAATGTTCTCTCTCATCAGTGTTTCTATCTTTCTCTCCCTCTCCCTTCCTCTCTGTCTAAAATCAATAAAGAGAAAAAAAATTAAAAATAAATAAATTAAATCAATCAATAAAATAAAAATATATACAGTATATTTTAAATACCTCAGAGAGCTCATATTCCAGAAATAGACCCAGAAATAAAAAAATTTTTTTAATACCATTTTTGTAACAGACCCATCCAAACGTCAGAGACCTCACACCTGAAAACATCTGCCAAATAGCTTAAAGATGGGCTTTAGAGACACAAGAGCTATGAGGTTTCATACCCTTGACAGAAACTCTCACAAAGTTCAGAAACCTTAAATCCTAGACCCACAACCCACAAGAGCTCAAAAGCTCACATGCTGGGGAAAAAGAAATCCCAACAGCTCAGAAAACTTACACTGAGACAAAAAGAAGTACAAACACCTCAGAAATCTCATTCTGTGGTACCAAGACTCCAAGACCACGAAGTCTTCAACACTCTTGGGTACAGAACATACTGGACACAGAACATAAAACAATGTTGAGGCCTGGCACTCTAAATGCAGACAGTGACCCAGAAACACTGCAGGCATCTCACACCCTGAGACAGTGCCCCAAAGAGCTCAGCAATCTCACACTCTGGGCACAGCACAAAATAATCCTAAAATCTTAAGCTTTGCCCAGGAACCACTCTCTCCCCCCCACCCCCCACCTAGCCTCACAGACCTTGCAAGGACAGAGCAACTAAAAAACACAGAGATCTCACATCTTGTCACACAGACTCTTAATACCTAGAGAACTTCAGAACTGGACACATGCCCCAAACAGTTCTGACAACTCTCACCCTAGGACCCACACCTCAAAATGGCTCAGACAATTCACCCTGGGGCACAGACAGCAAATACCTCAGTGATCTCACCTCTGCAGATTCAGCCAACCAAAACAGCTCAGAGGACATGGCACTATGGATACAAAACCCAAACAGCTCAGAGATCCCATGCTCTGGAAGCCAAATCTATCAACAGACAGTGAACTTACACAGTCACACAGCCAACTAAATAGCTCAGAAACCCCCTTGGAAACAGAACAGAGGTCAGAGACATCACACCCTTGACAGTGACTGTCAATAGGAACAGAGACTTCACACCTGGAAACATATCTCAAATGGCTCAGAATTTCTATCGTGACACAGAACCCAGAACAGCACAGAGCAGTCACACCCCGGACATAAATCCTCAAAATCTCAGAAAGCTCACATCCTGGGACCCAGACCCCAAAACAGTTTAGAGAACTCACACCCTTGGACACAGGCTACAAAACGATTTAGAGAGCTCATGTTATAAACACAAATGCCCATGAGCTCACAGACCTGATATGTTGGGATCCGGATCCACCCCCCCCCCACGATATAACACTATGGGGTACAGACCTTAAAAAGAGTTACTGCAGTTTGGACACAGTCACCAATTACCCAAAGAGTTCAGATACCTCACACCTTGGCCACAGATCACAAAACAATTCAGAATCCTCCTACCTTGGTAACAGTTTTTAAACAGGCTCCCAAATAGCCCACAGACTTCACAGAAACCAATTAGCAAAGAAACCTTCAATATGAGATGAAAACCTGATCAAATCCCGAGAGCTCATACCCCAGGAATAGACCACTAATAGGTCAGAGGCATCACACCCTTATACAGAAACTACCAAAAATATGAGAAACCTCACACCTTGGAACATACTCCGAATGATACAGGGATTTCATGGCCTGGAATACAAATCTAAGAACTCAGACATCTCATACCCTTCAGACACCTCAGCTCCCCAAACAGCTAAGAGAGATCAACTCCCTGGACCCAGACTAAAAAATAATTCAGAATCATTGTACAGTGAGCAACATAACCCAGAGAAACTTTGAAACCTCTTTTGTTAGAACACAGACAAAGAGCTGCCTCAAAGGCATTGCACTATGAAATGCACCCAGGGACATAGTAATTCAAAACGGCTCAGAGACCTCATACCCTGGGACAGAGACCCCCCCACAAAAAATACCTCAGAGACATCACATTCTGGACACAGACCCCAAAACTGATCAGAGACCTCACACCCTGAAATAAAATCCCACATACAGTTCAATTACCTCAAATTCTTGAAGAAAAAATGAAAAATATTTCAGAGATTTTATTCTGGATACACATCCCAAAAGATCGCAGGCCTGCCCCGTGTGGCTCAGTTGGTTGGGCATTGTCCCGTGCACTGAAAGGTTGCTGGTTCAATTCCTGATTAGGGCACATGCCTGGATTGTGGGCTCTATCTTGGGTAAGGGGTGTGCAGGAGGCAACTGATTGATGTTTCACTCTCACATCTATGTTTCTTTCTCCCTCCTGCTTCCTCTCTCCCTAAAAATCAAAATCAAAACAAAACAAAACAAAAACTGCCAGGCCGGGGTGGCTCAGTGGATTGAGCCTTGTCCCATGGTCTGAGAGGTCCTGGTTCAATTCCTGGTCAAGGCACATGTCCAGGTTGCGGGCTTGATCCCCAGTAGGGGGCGTGCAGGAGGCAGCCAATCGATATTTCTCTCTCACATCGATGTTTCTATCTCTCTCTAAAAAAAAAAAAAATCAATAAAAACTTATTAAAAAATAGTACCTTAATAAGTCAAAAACATCATGCCCTGAGACTGAAACCCCAAAAAGGAACAGATATTTCACACCTGGAAATAGGCCCCAAACAACCTAGCGACCTCATGTCATGGGACACAAAAACCAAAGGTTCTCAGAGACCCCCACCCACTAGACAGACTCACATACACAGTAAGAGTTTTCAAACTCTCAGTCACAGGTGCCCAAATAGTTAAAATAAGTTCTAATTCAGATTTAAAACAAACAAACAAAAAACCAAAGAGCTGAGAGATCATATATTCTGGGAATGATCTTTAAATAGTCTAAGGATCTCCTACCCAGAACCACAATACCCAAGTATAGTCTGAAGAGTGTGTGTGTGGTGGGGGGAGGGTGGATCTCTGGGAACTTTTTTTTCTTTTTTCTCTCCTGGCCTTACCCCAGTGGTGGCTCTAGTTTAGAACTATATGGAAGCAGTGCAGGCAGCTAAATATCCAAGACAAATGGCACCATTCTGGCCAGAGGACCAGGGAAATAGGCCCCTGAAGACTGGAGAATGTGGAAGGGAATTCCATAGAGGAGAGAGATGGAGAAAGGAATCCCCTAATTCTGTGCATAAACTGACACAAGTCTCAGGCTCACTCCTGAGCTGTACATGCCCAAGCAGACTCAAAACAGGATAGCAAAGGCTTTGAAAATGGAACTGACATCAGAACTACTGTCCACAGAAGAGGAGACAAAACTTGTGATTTGAACCTAAACAAATCGATCGCCTGGTAAAACAAATAATTATTTTCAGGAACTTAATAAGACCTAGAATCTAACCGACACAATATTCAAAATGTCTAAGATAAAATGCAAAGTTAATGTACATACAAAGAAACGTGAAAATGCTACCAGTTCTCAAGAGAAAAGACAACAGATACCAACACAAAAGGACTCAGATGTTAGAATTCTCAAAGACTTATAAAAAGAATAAAAAGCTATGCCAACCATTTTTCATGAAGCAAAGATAAACACACTTGAAGTTAATGGTAAGATAGAGGTTCTCAGCAGAAAAATACAGAGGCAGGCAAAGGTAAGTTTAGTTGTGAGTATGTGAAACACAGAGT